GTAGTTAATGATAATGAATAGGATGACCTTACTACATTAATAGCTATATTAATATTTTTTTGTTTATAAAGATTGATTACAAAATCTTGAGGTATAGTTGAGCTTAGGGTGGCAATTTCCTTCGATCCCCGCGGGGCTCAGCGAGGATCCTCATCACGGGGACAGGGCGGGGATGGGGGGCATTTTAATTTTGTGGGGAATTTTCCTCGTCCCGCGGGGTCCCGCGGAGATCTCCGTCCCGCGAAAAATTAAAAAAAAAATTTTAATTTAATATTTAAAATAAAACTCAAATCTAACCCAAACCCAATTCAATACAAATTAAATTTTACCCAACCCAACCCAAGTTATCCAACCCAACCCAATCCAATCCAACCCAATTATCCTAATTCAACCCAACCGGCCAACCCAACAATCCAACATCCTCCTTACAAGTTCCAAGTTTCCAACCCTAATTAATCCCCCTTCCAACCCTAATTTCATAACTTTATTCATTTCCCCTCTTCTCCTCACTCACGCACGCAGCCACAACCCCTCACTCACTCTTGGTTTCAGCCACAACCCCTTCTTGTTGCTACAGATCTACTGCAGCCTACAGGTCTACTGTTGGAGCTGCTTGCTGCCTCCTGTGCCGGACCCTCTGCTTGCTGCCTCCTGTGCGGCTGTGTCGGACCCTCTGCTTGTTGCCTCCTGTGCTTGCTGCCTCCGGTTGATATTCTGATATTGGGTATGTTTTGCATTGTCACAAATAGATTATTGTTTATTTTGACTGATATTTTAGTATTGAGTAGTTGGAAAATTGGAACTGTAGTTGAATTTGTTTCTTCCACAAGCCATATTTTTTGCTCCTCAATAAAAAAATAGATCGGTGTTGTTCTGTTTGGAATATCTGCTTGGCCAGAGTTGGTAATGGTCTGTTTCTTATGGTAAAGGAGCTCGAGCTCGAGCTCTAGCTCGGGACGAGCAACCGAGTACTTTGGAACTCGGGTTCAAGCTTGACTTTTTCAAGAGTAATTTGGAGCTTGATCTTGACTTGTGAAGATGAACATTTGTCTAATAAAAAAAAGGGGTAATGTACACTGATTTGATCAAAAATTTAGCAAAGAATTTTTAATATGGATTTGGTAGGGCCAATTCGACTTTACATTACTTAGGAGGCACTAGTTCAAGACAAGCTCCTGTAGGCTGCTTTCTTCTATTTTAAGTTTATGTTTCTTTTATTTTTTTTATGTATATTTTTTTTTGTTCTTTAATTAAGTAGTTAATTTTTAATTTAAATTTTTATATTTGAAATAGGTTCTTTGGATGATATATGTTTCTTTACTCAAAATGAGGATGTGGATTGTGATAAAGACAATAATTCAGAGGTAAATATGCATGACCCTTTTTTATACTAATAATATAAACAGTTTTTTTATAAATATGTTAACATAAAGTATTTACTAATTGTATTTACTAATTGTATTGTAGGTCTTTCTATGAGCAATTGTAGATTTTGAGAGTTAAAGTGTTTTGAGTTGGTTCTTGGCTGCTTCCCTTCATGTTGAATGTTGGTTTAGTTTAGTTATTTTATTTATGTTGGGTTGATTTTTGCCTATATTTAGAA